GGCAAGGAGGGACAGGCCTGAGGCAGGTATGGATAAGGAGTGGCACAAGTACCCTTCCCTACGGACCTGGGGTATGGGACAGTTCTAGGGTGCTTCCACTATCCTTGTCCAGAGGAAACATCCTCCCTCTGTGGTTGAAACATGGGGCTACTTATTCTCAACAAAAACATGTGCTGCCTTTGACCTGACCTTGCCCTTTTAATCATCCTGCTCTTATCCTACATTTTTCTTTATTTTTGGTGAGAAGAAGCAGTTGGTTCCCTCATTCCTCATTCCTCCTGAGAATGGGGAGGACATAGAGGTCAGATAGAGGGGACAACTTGCATCCCCAGAGACAGGCCAACTTTGACTCTTTGTCAATAAATCCCAGATTTTCCGAGCAACACCTGCAAGAAACACTGCAGGTTTGGGCAAACTCACCCCAGACTTGATACTTCAATCCAATTATGTGTCATGCTCGCCTCCTCGTTCATCATGTTAAGCTCTTCTAAAATTACCCTCTAGTCCCTCTGAATGAAAACACCTCACTCCTTCACTTCAAACACTGTGATAAACATAGATCCTTGTAATATGAGAAAAGAGGGTGAGGACCTTGCTGTATTTCATTATTTTTGCACTACAGCAATGAATTTCAAAATAGCTTAGCAGTAGTAGTCATGCTTACTGATTTAGTGTACATTCCCTTCACTGCTCTCCAGAAATTTAGCACTTCTGGGAACAAGCATGAGACTTTGAATTAGTTTATTTTTTTTCCTCTCCTCCCTTCAGCAGGTTACAATGTGGCATTTTCTTGCTTTTTGTTTGGTTTGAATGAAAGTCCAGCCCTCTTTCCTTCCTGCACAATTGTTCCCTCAATGCAAAGGGCTGGAAGACAGGAGGAGCATAACCTTCTAGACTCATCTGGAAAGAAGCAGTACTTTTCCCTGTTGTTAACACCTGAAAGAACAACCCTAAAGGGTTTTTAAGCTACTTGCTGTGACCAGGTCATTAAACACAAAAAACCCCAACCAGCCAAAACAATTTTAAAAAGCAAACCCCAAAGCAAACCCCAAGGCAAGGCCCAAAGCAAGCCTTTTAACTGGCGTAAAAGTCCCCAATATGTAAAATTAAGATTCTTTGCTTCTCCTGACACAATTTTACTAATCTTCTTGATCTCCTGTGCTTAATTTCTGGGCTTAAGAAACCAGGTGAGGCAGCTCCTCCAGCTTTATGTACTGCAACAGGAAGTACTGCAGCTTCTGAGAGCATCCTGGAGAACCTGAGACCAGCCCTGACTATAAGGAGCCAGCATAAAGGAGCACACTTACTCCTGCACATCAGGGCAGGAGCAAGCAGATGCCCATTAGCACAGCTCACGAGAGCACCTACAGTCAGGCCAAAGAGCCTTCAGATCCACCTCCAGCTTGGGTCACAGCTGGAAACTTGAGCAACACATGGGACACCCACAGAGCACCTGAAAACACATCCATGGATTTTTGTGAGGCTGAAGGGCTGGTGAGCCCCGTGCAGTGATATATTCTTGCTTGGAGAAGCAAGAGGTGAATTTCTCCAGCTGACTGTCTACTGAAGCACATTTCCCTGGGCAAAGATTAGTTTGCAAGGCATTCTGTCTATTCCCAGCGTACACAGCCTGAGCTGGGGGTGACACCACAGAGCTCAGAAGCAGAATGAAGGCAGTTTCTGGCCTCAGCTGAGGCTATTTCACAGCTGCAAAGCTCCACTGACCCCAGCAATGCTCATACAAGCAAGAGGAAATTCCTGCCTGAGTAGCTGAGTATGGCTTTTCCCAACATATATATTTTTTCCTGAATAGTGTTGCTTTTTTCTGTTCCCACATCTATTTTCCCAGGTAAGTTTTGCAGGCTTGTCTGTGGATGCACATTCTTTCCAGCTTCTCACATTATCACAAATTGGATCAAGTACAGAAAACAATTGCATCGTACTCACCCTGTGTGATTGATGGCACAGATATGTGCAATAAAACAGAACAAAAACAAGTAGTTCTACCAGGCTCCTTTGAAACTTCAAAGTATCCAAGAGACATTTTACAGCACCCAGCACAACAGCCTGTTGGTTAAGCTGCACAGAAATTAAGCACCATGCAGTCTAAGGGCAAAAATTAAACAAATTTCTAGCGCCAAACTCTGCATACACAGTGGCTAGCTTGGTTTAAGGCAGCTTTATTTTATAAGCCACTACATCTTCCTGGTTTTTGTTATAGGTGGGCCATCTTGTTTGGAGCTTTTTCCCCCCAAAAATGCTGAAATTGCAAAAGTGACAGTTAGCACTTTACTGGATAAGGTCCTTGAAAATCCCTTATATACATATATAAAAATATAAATAAATCACTGAAGTCGCTTTTCTTCCAAAACTGGATTATTAGAATTATTCTGAGACTAGACATAATCGTATCTTTCCCCAGCAGCTCCACTCCAGCTGCTTACCAAAAAAAAGGGAAAAAAAAAAAAAAAAAAAAAAAAAAAGAGAGAGAGAGAGTGGAGACAAAGGGGGAAGCACAGGAAAATACCTGAACTAGTGAAGCAGAATACTGAAATACTAACAGATGTTAGGCTGAAGCCGTCAATGTAACATCTCAATAATCCTGCTGGTCTATCATCTTCATTTTGGGTACCAATCAGTGGTGGCTGTGAGATGACAGATGTTTCTTATGTGGGAGCATTAGGCTCCCAAGCAGTGCACAGCAGAGGTGTCCCTGGCCACAAATACTGTACTGCAGCACAGGATTTCAGGGCTGCACATCACTGTCACCATCCTGCTCGCATGCCTGACCTCTGCAACCGCACTGACAAGAGCTGTTATTCAGCATATTATTGGAAAAGGACAGAGATAACAGTTCATGAGCACTTCCCCTCCCCACAACATCCCTTTCAGAAAAGCCCAAGAGTCCCCTGCCCTTATTCATTTCCTGCTGGAAGCATGAATCGCAGACATAGGGAAAAGTAACTTTACCTCTGTTGTAAACTAAGTGCCAGATCAGCTGGGACAGATTTGACACGAAAAGGAAAGGGCTAAACTTATTTCAAAATGCTTATTGCAATCTACATTTCTGTGTCCAGCAGAAAGTTTAGTACAACAGACATCCCCAGCACTCTTGCCCAACTACACACAAAAAACAAAACCCAAACTCTCAGCTTTTCATTAACACCTGAAGCACCATCCTGTTTGCCACACCACCAAGTGCTCGGCACAGTCAGGGCACAAAGGCTGGCACAAGGACAGCAAAGCAGGCAGGCAGGTGCTGCATGTCTCACACCCCCGAGGATGAGCAGTCCTTCCAGCTCAGAAGATGCCCCATGAGCACTTATTAACAAGCCGTGTCACCTTGGACAAGCTGTGGCATTCCACACCTGTTACACAGCCCTTCTCCTGCTACTGCCCTCCAGCTTGTGGCAGGAAAGGCAGCTCTCCATGACATGTTCAAAAGGCTCTTAATTGAGAAACAATCCTTGACCAACCATTAACAGGCCTAAGGTGACTGTACCAGCCCAGTCTCCCCTGCACAGCTGTGTGCACACACACACACCTCCTCAGGAGCTCCGCTGCCTATTGAGGGTTACAGCAGCTTCATTCCAGGGACAGCCACTACAGTCCCAGCGCTATGACTCAAACAGGGCTTCATGCAAGAAGTGGGAAACATGTAGTAATCCCGGGAAAGAGCGAGTCCCACTAGGATCACGACAAGGCTCTACAGTGCCCAAACCTCAAAGGCATGAGCCTACAATCCTGCGTGGAGCTGGGCGAGCAGGTCAGGTGCTGCCTCTTACCTGTTCTCCAGCAGCGTCATGCACACGACCTCCCGTACGCCCGGGTTGTTGGCCTTCTCAATGGAGCAGCTTTGCAGGTTCCACGTAGCCACCCTGAAGACGGGTCTGCCATCTCTCACCCCCACAAACATCTCCACAGAGGGGCGAGTGGATATGATCTGGGTTGGACCCCCGGGAGGAAAGTCCAAGTCCTCGCTCTGGAGGCTAAGAGAGGTGGGGCTGGGGTGAGGCTTGGCCATGAAGTTGAGGCCACCATTGGTATTTGTTGAAGGGGGTCTGGAGCGCTCTGCAAAAATCTGGTGCCTGATTTTGTCCAGAAAGGAGGAATTGATGCAGTCCATCCTCACCAGGTCCTCGATACTTTTAAAAGGCCCATGCTCTTTACGGTAGTCCACAATGCTGTTGGCAATCTTCTCAGTGATGCCACGGATGCTCATGAGCTGTGCCGGGGTGGCCGTGTTGATGTTGATCTTGGTGGCGGACAGGTGGTGCTCAGAGGTCGGGTCCTTGCGCACGGAGCTGGGCGAGTGCTGCGCCGAGCTGCCCTTGCTGCTCACGCAGATCTCGAACTTCACCTGCTCCAGCTTGGCCGCCCCCACCCCGCTCACCAGCGCCAGGTCCTCCACTTTCTTGAAGCCGCCGATGTACTCGCGGTACTCCACGATGTTCTGGGCCACCACTCGGGTGACCCCGGGCAGGGTCATCAGCTCCTCCTCCGTGGCCGTGTTGATGTTGAGCCTCTCCTGGTTGACGAGGATGTTGCTGAAGTTGCACGCCGCGCTGAACTTGCGGCTGTGGCACAGGTCGGCCGGGTCGCGGGGGATGGAGCGGTGGCAGCCCAGGCTGCCCCCCATCTCACCGCCGCCACGGGCCGCTGCCGGAGCCGGGGGAGCGGGCGCGGGGCGCTGCCGGGGCTGCCCGCCCGCGACTCATGGACCTCGGCGGGAAGCCGGCGGCGGACCGGGCGGCGGCGGGGCAGCTGCGGACAGACCCCGCGCCGCCACACACGCCCGGTCAGCGGAACCCTGCGCCCCGCCGAGGGACCCCGCGCCTTTCTTCCTCCTCTTCCTCCTCCTCCCTCCTCGGGCACCGCCGCTCCCCGGCGCCGGAGAAGCCTCTGCAGCCGCTGCCCGCTCCGGCCCCGGCGCTCGCAGCCGGCGGCAGTAGTAGCTCTGCGGGAGCCCCCGCCCCTCGGCCGGGCGAGGCGGGGCCGCCGCCGCCGCCACCGCCCCCCGGGCGTCACCCGCGCCGCGCCCGCCCCCGCCCGGGCACCGCGGGACCGGCCGGGCCGGGCGGGCGGGGAGCGGCACCGCGGGGTCCCTGCGGACGGGCCCGGCCCCAGCGCCGGCCTGGGCCGCGGAGGAGGAGGGAGGCTGACCTCCTCCTGCCCGCGTGGGCACAGGGGGACTGAGAACGTCCCCAGTGGTGTCGCCGGGCCGCTGAGGGCGGGCGTTTTCCGTCCCCAAGCGAAAGGACGCTGAGGTCTTAGGTGTTTACACGCTCCCTGCAGCTTTACTGTCCTAGGAGTTCCCTGGGCTCGTCTCTCTGCATCTGGTGGGGCATAGGTGTGTTTTCAGACCTCATGAAAGCCTCATCAGTCATGTCCACTTGTTTTGTGCTCCTGCAGGCACTATGCTTTTATACATCGGGGTAAAGTCTGCATTTTTTCCTTTTTTTATTATTTTTTATTTTATTTTTTTTTATTTTTTAACATCTCAAGAAATTACGAGAGTGCTGAACAAACTGAAACTCCCAACAGAATGTTGCTTTTGGACACATTAGGTCTGTCTCAGGGTGGTGGTCTGCAGCAAGCCTACCCATTCCCTGAGAGTAACCTCATTCTGCACCGAAATCGTGGCTGTGTATTGCCCGTGTGTGCCTTAACTGTCTTTAACATAGTTTGTTCGAGTGCTGGGAGCCAGAGCAGCCCACCACAGCCCATTTTGGTGAAGCCACTGAAATATTTACCCAGTTTCTACTGCATCCAGTCCCATGCTGCACTGTCTGCAATGTTATCTGTAGCCAAATTAGCTCATTTGAAACTAGCTTGACTGTGCCCACACAGAAGTGACTGCAATGTCAATGAATCGAAATATAAGCGGTGGGTGTAATTGAAAGGAAGGGGGAATTGAGAGAAAAAGCAAACATATGATTGTAGATGCCAGCTATGTGCCCTCATGCTGCCTTGTTCTGACAGTCTCTCTCTATGTATTTCTTTTAGCTGCATAGAATATGGTACATATGTATTTTCAACATCAAGACTCTTGGTTGGCCCTCTAATGAAAATAAAACCGCTTGCAATAGCAGCTTGTACCTGTATTTTTCATGGCAAGTTAATGGAAATGATTTGCGTCCACCTGAAATAAAAAGTTACATTTATTCAGCTTCTTGCTGAAGGAGAATGTGATGTGCTTAAGGGAGTGCAGGCTGCACCAGGCTTTACCAGGCTCTCAGATTGCACAGGGGCACGGGTGCTTTAGCACTGGCTCTGGATACTCTGCTGCGCATCACACATTTCCCTTCTGCTCGCCCGAGCAGCGGAGTTAGCAAATTATCCTTACGGGAATGGTACTGGCTGCATTAGGGCACTGGCTGCATTAGGGCATTGGCTCTCTGCTGACTGCTGGAGCGGAGAAAGTGCTCGCTTAGGTGATTAAATGCTTCCACGTCTGCTGGAAAGTGCTCTGTGCGCTGCGATAGCAGCGGCCAATGCAGCAGAAGTCATGCTGGGCCTATTCCTGCTGGGACGATACCAGCACAGAGCTGGAAACAATTAACCATTGAAATGAGTATTCTTTGTGAGGCAGTATTATTACAGTAATAGCTCCACAAGCTGTTATCTCAATGGAGAACACACTCTTTTGCTTTCTACAGCAGGTTGTTTTGCACTGATCCAGGCTCATTAACTAAGTTTTGAAGCTGAAAAGCCCCAAAATCCATCTGAGGCATCATCTACATTGCAGGCAGCACTAGGTATTCTCTGTTTAAGAAAAAAAAAAGCAGGAGCAGCTTCAGAAAGAAAACAGATGTCCCTTTTGTCCAGCACTTTCTGTTGACAGCACCTACTCATCATTTCTTGAATCTGTAGCACCAAAATAACCCATGAGACTGGGTGCAGCTGAGGGAGGCAACAAGTGTCCCATCACCTAATCCTGAATATGACCTCGTGCTAATGTGAAATGTGGGCTGCGGGGGAGAATGTCATTCCATTATCCCCATACCTGTATTTTCAGTTGTTGTTGACAGTTAGAGGAAGCTTGCTGAGATCTGAGTCAATCTTCACCACATTTCAGGAAAGCAGCAAAAGATGTGAAAAGGTTAAACAGAAAACAAAAGAAAAAAAGATATCAACTGGCCTGACATCAGTGTTAGGCAATCCATTAATTTGAGGCAATCCGTTAAAATGAGGTTCAGTCAGTAAATAATTGAAAAAACAATGGCAAAATTATTGACAGCCAGTGTAGGCAACAGAAAATAAATCTCGTGAAACCCAGGTAGATACTAGATTTTATCTTTGATCCACTCTTGAGCTCAGTGTATGTAAATTTATTCAAGAAGAGATGGATTGATCATGGTCTCCTGGTGATCAGTGGCTGGCAGGTAGCCTCCCTGGTCTACCTTGGCACCTATCCTGGCAAGGGGCCTTGAAACCAGGATTTCTGAATCTCTGTCAGCCCCAACAGGTTTAGAGGGCTCTGAGACACCGTGGGTGGCTTATTCCTCAGGATCCGCAGCTTGCTGCCTACTGAGCATCTGGCTGCTGGCCAGGGCTGGCTTAGAAACCTCTCAGTCAGTGACAGCAAAATTGAGTTTCACTGCTCTGAGGGTGTGAATCTGGGGAGGACCTCACAGGGCCAGGCAGGCTCCAGCAGTGAGAGGTGTGGGGGGACATCCTCAAAAGGCCCCTGGGAGCAGCCACCACACTTCCTGCAGTTTTGTTGTGTTTTACCTGACAGTGTTACAAAGCAAGGAGCTAGATAACAATGGTTTTGTCATTGCCCAGTGACCATTTGCTGATCTTGGACTTGCTTTGCCACTGTCTACAGCCCTCCTCAACTGAGCATCTCACATCCTGTCCCCCTAAACTGGTAGTGAAAGAGGTTTCTGGACAGCTGAGTGGCACCAGGGCAAGCAGCTGGCCACATGAGAAATGCAAGGTTGTGTCACCTGCTTGCCAACTCTGGAGGTCTCAAACGCCTCTTCCCTGCAGGAATTCTTCTAAGAGGAAAGAACAAAACTAAACCTTTTCCATATGAAGGAGGTTCAGCAGTACTTCAGGCCTATAAATGCAATGTTTAAGGATGATATGGAAGTGCTTGAACCTGATGGAGTGGGAGCAGGTACTGGTGAACAATGTCTTTCGGCATAATTGATGCAAAAATTCAGCCTACAGGCCAACAGATTTTAAAGGCTAACTTCTTAACATTTTAAGTTGGTCTTAAAAGAATCTATTAATCTATTTTTACACTTTTTAACATGCCTCATCTATACTGCAGAGGCTCTAAGTAAATAAACTGGGTTTTATGATGAGGGATAGAAGGAGCCAGAAGATGTTACTCAACAGAAAAACACAGAGTTTGCCTTCAGTGTTCAGGCAGCAATTGCAGTTCCTACCAGCCCACCATGTGATAGCAGTGTCTTTTCCAGCTCTCACACAGCATTGGGGGGCTCGGCAATCACGCTTTTACACCCTGTGTTTCAGACCTGCTGCACTGGGCTCTTAACGGGCAAGGGCTCAAAAAGGCAGCTGGTTAACTGCGGTGCCTGTATTCTTATTAAAGGGAGCTATTAAAATAATTGTTTTCCTTCTGCAAGGACATCTTCAGTAACACTTGTAACAGATGCCCGAGGGAGAAGACAGGCAGTGTTTTTATGAAGACAAGTAATAACAAGTAGGAGTGAGCAATTTCATAATCGGTGGGACTTACAAAGTCTGATTCTTGGCGGCTCTTTCCTTTTTTGATTTTCTGGTCTTTATTAATAAAACTGAGTCCCCATTAGTCTCTCAGTGGGGTTGCTAATCTGATATCTCTGTTCTACATGGCCATCAATATTTGTGGCTCCTTTGGAAACTCTATATTTTTGAGACATTTAACCTTTATCAAATTTGCTTGAAGTTAGTCCTCTCTCTAACAAAATCCCTGGGGAAGGGATGATGGGTAGACCAGCAGAGCACACAATCACATGAGTTTTTTCTTGGGAATCCAATGTCTATGATGTGAGCTCTTTAAGGCATTCTATACAGCTGCCAAACTTGTTGCAAAAAAAGTGATGTCACTCACCAGTGCTTCGTTGCCAGGTTACGGGTGTCACATCCTACAGAGAAATACAGTCAGAAGGGTGAGCAGAAGTGAGTCATCCTCATACCTTGATTAGGGCTGCACTTGACTTGGGCTTGAGTCTGAAATGCAGACCTCTCCCTTCCAGAGGAGACCTCAACCAGTGGCTCACCAGTGCTCAGCAGGACAGCTCAACCTAGAGGGAAACAAAAGGAACCCAAGCTAGAGAAAACAATCTCCAGTAGGGCATGGGATGCATTTTCCAGTTTCAATATAAAGCAGGGGGGGGATTTGATTCTCATGCTCCACATCTAAGGTGACTCAGATACCTCTTGGGGCACAAGGATAGAAAGGAACTAAAAAAATCTAGTCTTTCCTTAACCCCAGGGAGACTCATCAAGGCTATACTTACAGAAGCTTGCCTACTCCAGGCCTTCAGTGGTGGTATCTCCTGAACTTCCCAGATGAGGAACACGGGATGTGTGGATCTGTGACCCAGCTAATGTTTACTTTGAGGCCTAGTCCATCCAGCCTCCAGTAAAAATGCCCACAAATCACAGCTGTGTGAATCTGGCATGGAGGAGAGTCAGAATTGATGACTTGTGATCCAGGTGCCCAAGCTCTCAGCCAAGGGCAGGCTTTCCTTTGGTTTCATCCAAAGGCAAGCCTCAAGTGGGTTTTTGTGGAAAAGATACAGGCAATGAGATTTTCCGCACTTCAGTAGCCAAGCAGGAGAAGAGGAAAAATAAACAAATATGCTGGAAAGGGTGGTTCAGTATAGCTTTCAGCACTTCACACAGCACTTTTGTCATCAGCAGTTGGACCACCAGCCTCTCAACTGAATAAATTACTATTTTGCATAATTTTATCCTTTACCTGTAGTTACTAGATTACCATAATTAATTTTCTTGTTAACAAATTTTAGAGAAATTTGTAAAAAATCCGTTTCATGTTTACCTTTTCCTTTTCAAAGAGTTTCATGATCATTAGTTAACTCATGCATACAGCTTTTTAACTCAGTGATCCTGC